GTTGTAGGAAAATAGATTAGAGCTTCGAAAACTAGAAAATAAAAAGACCATAAAATTTAGGGGCATTTACATACATGCAACACAATTCTTATGTATTTACATATGTAATACCTAAACATTCATATTTATGTGCAAACCACTTAAAACTTTAATATCACATAAAAAATACCAACATCACTATCTTTCAAAACCTGAAAACATATTTTAGTACATAGGTTTATGATACAAAGGTGTGATAAATGCAATTATCAAACTTTGGGGTTTAGATATTTAAATACATAAGAATTGTGTAGTTTTTTATGTAAATTCTCTTTAAATTTAAAGCTTAATGTACGCTCACATTTGAAAAAAAAAAATAGTGTATGTGTTTCGGAGATTTGGTCCAAGTGGGGGAGGGCCGTTCAACCATCTTTTTAGGGCTAGGGTTGACACCCACTACTAATAGCAACAAGGGTATTTTCATTTGTTTGTTTTTATTAGGTTTTGGCTCCTTGTTAATTATAAATATGTAGTCATTTATTATGTTAGTGGTCTTTTGTTTATTTGAGTTTTGTGATGGCCTGTGCTTCCCATTGTCATTCCCAGATGGGGATGGTCTGTATCCACGACGTTGGGTGGTGGCATTGTATCCCTCCATTGTTCATGGTGATATCTTGGGTCTCCTTCCTTCGTCAATTTTTTGGGTGGTGATTTCTATATCTTGATTGGTTGTGAGCATAGGAAACTCTTATGTCTTTTATCTTTTATTTGATTAGTGCATCGCATGTTTGTTCTGGTTGTTTTTTTTTCTGTCTCGGATTGCTTTCTTAAATGTTCTTATTGAATCTTCTCCAATCTCTCTTTTTTGGTGTCAGTGTAAATATGTTCAATCCTTCAAAGATGCCATATAGATATATTTTTACTTAAAGAAAGTGTGTAGATATGAGATTTAAACAATTATTTAAAATGAACAGCTATGAATGTCATATTTTTTATTTTACTGTCCTTGAAGAAGCAATTGGGAACTATTAACTAAATCAATCTAAATTTAAGGATCTGGGTTCTATAAATTTAAAGGAAAATTTGTTATTAGAGAATGAGCTATTATTTCAGTTATATTATGCAAATTAAAAAGAATAATTTCACTTAGTTTCTTTGATTTAATGGACCACTTGCCATACGGAGAAATAGTTGGCACCGTAGTTTTATATCATTTGATGTGCTTGGAGATAAATATGAAAACAGTTACTTTGTTATCATAAAATTGCATTATTTGATATAAGATAAAGCTTGTAGAATGCTCTTTCTACCAGACAGACATTGCATATGGAATCTCTCATTTTAACTCTCATATTTTGAGCCATTTTTTTGTTATGGTGTGTTGTGCATTACTATATCAAAAAGATATTAAAAAAGATGTACAGAACTTTGCCATGTGGGCATTTACATGTGTTTGTTATCTATCTTAAAAAAAATCTAAAAAGACAATCTAAAGTCAATTGACCTCAAAATTGCGCACTAGTGTTACATTCTCTAAAAGCGAGACAAAAAGCCACTTGCCTGAAATGAGTAACAAACACTAGGGCCGGGTCAATGGTTTGGAGGGCAGCCCAGTTCATTTGATCCACAATTTTGCAGAAAAACTGAATTAGATTGATGTTATACTCTTCAAAGATGGCCCGTTTAATTTCATACACCCAAGGCTCAAAAATTTTGTGGATTGCACTGATTGCCCGAAGCTCTACTTGAGCACAATCCCAATGAATAAAGCTCTTACCGATGGCAACAAGCAAACCCTCTGTCTCGTTACAGATGATAAGGCCCGATATTTTGAGCCATTTGTATGGTATAGTTGAACTAGAATCATTTGTAATGATTGGAATGTTGGATAGGAGATAATTAATTTTTACCCAGTTTACTAATCAAAGCATCTGACGAATGGTATCAATATACACAAGCAATATAAAATTGACTAATATTATAAGTTTTCTTGAATTATAAGGAAGTGGAACCTTTCATGGCGTAACTTTCTAAAAAAAAATATTGTAATATTTTTTTTTGTGCAATACTTTATGTGCTAATATTAACTCTTATAGATTGTATGCTGCACATTTTTTACAAATGGTTCAATTGTAATTAATTTCAAGGTTGAAGCGGAAAGTACAAAGTGATTTAGGTTATATGTACGTTTTATTGATGGAAATTCAAAAGAACTTATTTTGAGTACGTCTTACTCAACATTTATTTTATATCATGACTTTGATAGTCTAATTACGTGGGGACCAATGAGTGTAATAAAATACGATGATTTACTTGTACAAGGCTGTATATTTCATATAAACTTTAAAGATAAATGATTGTGATTTATGCATTTAAGTGCAGCACAAATACAAATGATTAAAGGTGTTTGCTTTGATTTTTTTTAAATTAGAGAGCACAAGTTTGTTCATCTTTAATCATTAATGGTTTGCATTCATATCTAATTGAGGCTTAAGAGCATATAAACAGTACCAAATTACTGGGATAAAATATCGTAGATGAAACACAAAATGTGATATATTCATTCTTGCATAACGTACAATTCAGGTCTACTTTGCGAACTAGCCTGGAAGAAACAAAGCAGATTGGCCGATGGTGAGTAAGACTAAACTATTAGGCAGGGTTGATAACAAGCTTACTGGAGGTTGCTCATCGACAGGAGAGGCCTCATAGTCCATTTTACTTGTTACTGATATAGAACCACTTGCTAACTTATATTATATTGATGGTGAATTTGAAGATGTTGATTGATTTATTAGCAAAATAGAAAAAAAATATGAAGATCAGGAGAGCAAAGGAGGAGAAATAAATGAGGGGAGTGAATGAGATAAGAGAAGAGTGAATTTGTAAAAATAAATGTGCTAATTTGTAATGAGTGTAGTATTTATTTAAATAATTTTATGTTTAACATGTGATTGTGTTCTTCTTAATAGCGTCCATGTTAATTGTTTTACCATTTTAGAAGATTTATTTTGATGGAAAATATGTAGATAATTGACTCAATTGGTAAGCTACTGCAAAAAGAAAATATCGAGGTTTCTTGCGGAAGTCAAATTTTTTACCTTATGTCTACGTGATAGTACCTATATTCCATTGAAAATCTGCCAAAGAATATTCTCTGACAGATTTTCTGTCACCAATAACTATTTTTTGTCAGGAGCTTTACTGGAGGATGGATTTTCATCGAAATTTGGTGCAAATGGTGTTTTCTAGCGGGGGCAAAACTATCCTCCAGAAATGTGCTCTTTTCTTGTAGTATGATCCTCCGCCTATTCAAGTGACATTGTTGTTCATATGGTCTTCCTGCCTGTCAGTCTTCTAAGATAATTTAAAAACAAATGTTTATTCTTATCAGAGCTCGACTCATTTTTGTGACATGCACTAATTTTCTTTTTTAATTGCAGATATGACAATCCTTGGTAAGTTGAGTGTGTTAGTGATTCTTTAGGGAGCAAATAATTTAGCCAACGGCATAATGTTTGATTGATAAGTTAAATTCTGAATCATATGTAGATTAACCCTAGTGATGGGCTTCATCATAGGGCATGAATGGTGAGGTTTGGGCATATATGTGGGTGCAACAGGTGTGTTTAGTTTGAGTAGGGCTTGTTGGGTTTCTGGTAGGGTAAGGCTAGGCTCACTAATAGGGGCAAAATTTGTGTGCTCGATTTAAAGTAAATCGGATTAGGCTCGAGTAGAGCGTGCAGAGTGGTAGTTTGCGCACATGTGGGTGCAGGAAGGATGCAATGAGTGTGTTGATGCCATATGTTGGAGAGTCGTGCAATGAAAAATAACAGATGGTGAAGAAGGAAGAGTCACTTGAATGGCACAAGAACTAGGTGACTTTGTGGAATGAGGGAGATAAAGGAGATTTACCAATTCTCACAAGTGGGGATAATAGGCACTTGGCATTAACCAGGAGGGGGAGGGAAGAGAGGGAGGAAGAGAGAGAGAGAGAGAGAGAGAGAGAGAGAGAGAGGGAGAGATGCAGCGTGCTTCAGTTTCCCAACAAATATGCTAAAACATACTTGTACAGTCAATTAATTACAATTGTGAAAATGATAATGACATTGAGGAAAAAACTAGAGGTCTAGAGATCACCATCAATCATTTTCTTTAGTTGTATTGGATTTTTTCTTCAGTTTTCATTTGATCCTAAACATATATTGAAAATAACAAATGTATTTACTGTATTTGACATGAACCTTTCTTATCTGCTTGTAGGATTTTGATAAGTATACTGAAACCTTAAGCATTTTAATATGCGAGCAAGAGAAAGAGTCCCTGTTTTTTTTTGCCATCTATCGTCAGTTCTCTAACATATTTTGCTCCTTCATGCAACTAAATATGATTATTTTTGCTTTACTGCACTTTTTTTTCCTTCATTCACCATGTAAATTTGTGTCGATGCTGTGCTCTTGATCTGTTATATCATGCTAGTTATCTACGCATGTACAGCATTGCACTGGATTTATCAATTTCAATTCATATGCAAACAAAGTGTTGATCTCTGCCATCTTAATTTCTTTAAAAAGTAGAAACACAATGCATGCATGGAGGAAAATTTTTGAGACGAATTATTAACAGACATTGTTTCTTTGGCTTCTTTTCCATTATGAAGTGCTTGTTTTTTTATCTAGATTTTTTGAATGTCAGTCCTGATCATCATCATCATCATTAGCCTTATTCAAACTATTTGAGGTCAGATTTTCTAAATTTATTTTTGCAAAGAGAATAATTGGATTAAATAATATTCAGAATAATGAAGTTTATGCAAAATTTGACCTGCCATTGCCACATTATATATCAGGATAAACGTGTTCTGATCACATCTTATCTTTCTTGCTTGTTTTCCATTCTTGGTTGGCACTTAAAATTTTTTGGTTTTATTTTGGTGCGAGGGCTTCCTTGTTTACTGTACTTTCCTATTTCTTTCTGCCTTCTTTTCTTAATTTTTTCTTTCTATCCCATTCTTTGAACAGCTCGCAAAGTCTTCTCAAGAGATTAGTAAATTTGCAATTATAGCTTTAGTAGCTATTGATGCTGAGGAGGTTCAAGTTTATGCCAAATATTTTGATATTGTACTAATTCCTTCGACTGTGTTTTTCTTCAATGCACATCACATGAAGATGGACTCAGGGTAATTTTTCACTTCAAATTCTACTTTCTATTGTTACATGTAATGCGCGCATGTGCGTGCCCTATCTATCTATCTATCCACACACACACACACACACACACACACACATACACACATACATCCAAATATACATACATACATACAATACATACATACATACATATATCTAGATATACATACCTATACATACATATGCATGTATGTTTGTACGTATAGATAAAGGCAATAAATGCAACATGTAATTTCAAGCTTTTCAATCATTGGGAAATTTAGGGGTAGTTTGGTAGGTAGGGGTTTTGAAAATCATAATGTTTGATTGGAAGAAAAACAAATGCAGTGTAAAATTTTAATACTTTTGAAATTTCTTTTTTAGCTCAATTTCAACGTATTTTGAATGCATCAGATTTGGGTGAATGCTGCCGCCACAGAACTCCCATCATCTCCCTTAATTTATTTTATACTGCATTTGCAGTATACTCACCCAAACCTAAAAATTAATATTCATGTGTTCATATTTTATTCATCCAAATAAACAATATTTATTTTTCAATGTAGTACATTTTCTTTTTCGCTACATTACTTTTACACTACATCCCTTTTTTTAACAAATCAAAAAATTCTTAGCCAATTTGGTTGGTGTAAGTTGATGCTAGTAATATCTAGAGAGAGAGAGAGGGAGGGATGGGAGGAGAGGGAGGGAGGGGCCAACTCTCATTCATCTAGATTTGGGAAAAGTCATATGTAATTATGTATATTATGAAAATGTTACGTTTTCCTAAAACTTTATATATCACTGTAGTTTTGCTCTCTTTCCCAAAGTTGAGGAATCTCTTTCACCCATTTTGCTGAAATTTTTGTTCTATTGTTGGCTCTAGGTGTTCCCATTTCCCTGAGTGGTCTAGTCTTTTTGGCTTCAAGATCAATGTTGTTGTTTTCAACTAGCAAATTATTCCTATATTGTTTAGTTATTGGTTTTTGGTGTGTGCCATTTGCAATGATACATCTAATTCATTTTTTTCAAGGTTTTACTTGCCAATGCATGCTGAGTGGCTTAGTTCTCTACCCTTACTCTCCTAAGAAGACAATTGTTTAGTAGTCTGAAACATCTGTACTGATATCAATTTTGTCAACTTCCATACGGACTAACCCGGTTCGGCTGGTAGCTCAAGGACCCTAATTGACACAATACCTACCCACCAGGGATAGCAATCGGTAGGTTGATTGCGTTTCTAGCTCCATTAGGTTTGGCGCTTTTGGGTCAACACTTATGGGCTAGCGCAATGCTCGGCACTTGAAGCTAAATCCCAGAGTTGACACTAAAGGGAAAACACATGAGACTTTCCATTCCCATTAAGAGGAAATAATTAGAAGGCGTGTGGAATCATAGTAGAATTTATCATAAAAAGTAAAATATATTTTTAGTATTATTGATTGGAGGTTATAAAGTTCTTAGTATTGGTGTGAAATGATTAGATTCTATTAGTAAGACCAAGCACATCATCATGAGCATTAGCCTTTTTAAAATTTTTTGGGCCGGTATTATGAATCTTTATTTTTCAATAGTTCCTGTTGGGTGTCATTAGAGGTATTAACTCAATTTTGTTTAACTCGTTTTGAATAACTTATATATCCATGTTACTTAGGATTTACCTATTTGGAGCCCTAATTATTTGACACAAATTTATTAAATTGTATAATTTATACATTTTAAATTACCCAAGTATGTTTTCAATCACCTTTATTTCAATAGATGTTGCTACAACATTTCTTTCAAGAAGTGATAATTTACAAATTTACCATACAATTATCTTATCATTCTCATTTTTTATACACTAAATCTATATATTAATGTTTTTTTTAAAACCCAATGTTTTTATCCATATAGCATGAGATAAAAAACATGACTCAACATGGCCTGTTGACCCATGATGATGGCCAACTTTTGGCATCGCCATCTTGTGCCAATTTGTCGCTTGGAGTTGAAACTTGAAACATTATTTGTAGGGCTCAAGGGAATGCTTTTTGTGGTATAAAAGATATGAAAGCTCAATATTTCAGTCATTGTTCATATTTCCAAGAAAATCGTGTAACAAATGCATGGTGTTATTCATGCTTACACTTCACTCTTTATGCATGTTGAGAGTCATAATCATTTTGTTATTATGAAGCAATTGACATGTGAGGCCTAACCTAGCGATCCCATCAATCCTTATATTATATGGATGACAGAATTATGGAGTCGGTATCTATCATGTCACAACATATTCAATTCATTTCTTTTATATTGCTAAGTACATTATACATATATATAAAGGAAAGTTATGTTCATCATCTAAGCCATGGCAAGATATGTGAATGCAACATCGAGGAAAGTTATCGTTGCTCATTGTTAGGCCATTCAATAAGGGAAAGAAACTAGAATGGAAGCATTTCTAAATATAGTAAGACCTTAATAGTTAATGGGTTATAATATCCCAACTTTGGTGTAGGTGCAAAGGGTTGTCAGTTTCTGATGTCTTTTTCATTCATCCTTATTCTTTGGGTTGTCAGCTTCCTCAACAACAGTATCATCTCCACGACATTTCACTGTAAACTCTTCTATGATGGTCTTAGGCCTTTTATTGGGGGAGATGGTGGACAATGAGACAATGACAGGCATTGGCAAATGGCAGCTTAGGTTTTATCTTACCTTTACATGTCACAACCAAAGAAGTCTCTTTTCCTAAGTTCTTTACTAATGTTTTAAATATTAAACACAATACAATGCATTAGTAGGCGTGCGCATAATTTGTTCAATACCATAATGAACCAAACAAGCGTGGTTGGTTCAATTTGGTTTCAAAAATGTATTTCAAATTTTCTTTTAAATAATATTATTAGGTTTTTTGATTATTTGTTTGGTTTGAATTTTTATTTAGCCGAACAAACCAAAAAAAATAAAATTTAATTAAATTTTGTTATTATATTTTCGGAACATTTATATACATACCACCAATTGCTATGTGTTTATTTATCTATCACCTAAACTCCACATTTTACATTTATACCATCCAAATCATTCATATTTCATTAAACTACCACCATTTTAACTAATTATTAAATGAAATACACCTTTTTCATGCATATGTAATGTGGCATTAATGTAAAATTTGTAGTGTAGGTGTTAGATATGTAAATGCATAGTAGTTAAGTGCGATGTATGCAAATCTTATTGTATAATTTCAAGAAAAAAAATCAAAATTTACCATATATGCAATATTTGATTAAAAAAAAGGAAGATTCATAAAATTAAATTGATATTAGACATTGATATAAGTAATTCGTAATTTTGTTCATAACCAAGCTCCAAAAAATAACTAAATTTGGGTTTATTCATAACTGAACTGTTTAGACCGAATTAAAATGGTTTGGTCGGTGCAGTTTTATCAAAATTTTGATTGGTTTGGTTTTTTGAATCTGTATTACAATCGATACCAATTTGCAAACTGATTCTTTTGAACCGGTCGAATGCTCATCCCTATGCACTAGGGTTGCTTTTGGCTTAAACTAGGGAATTAATGAGCTGTGCTTGTGTGCATCTATAAGACAACAAGAAGCCTTTATCTCACTAAGTGTGGTCGGCTACATGAATCCTTTTTCTTTGTTTTTTCCTATTGAGTATCATATTTTCATTTAATTATAATTAATTAAGGTCATTTTTTATACAACATGCTCAAGTCTTTGTAGATCTAACTCCACCTTTCTTAGCATAAGTGACATTTAAAACTTATCTGCTAACAGGGTCATCAGATGGTCGATATTTAATGTGAGCAAATTATCTAAGGCGACTCTCTAATCTTGTTTGCCGCTGGAGCTACCCTAACACTTTCACGGATATATTTGTTTCTCTTTTTATATCTAAGTATAAAAACGCTCATCCACCTAAGCATTCTCATCTCAAAACCACTTATCTTAATCTTATGCTTCTTTTTTACAGGTTAAGATTCTGTGCCATAAAGCATTGTAGGTCTCATCATCATCTTCTAAAATTTTCCTTTAAGTCTAAGCGGTACTTTTCTATCAAATAATGGACCCAATGTATTCCTCTAGTTCAACCATTAAACTTGAATTCTACTAATAACATCCCCATTTATATCACGATCGCTTTGAACAATATACCCGAGATATCTAAACCGTTTACTCCTTTTAAAGACTTGATCACCCATTATTACAATCTTGGCACTAGATCTATCATTACTAAAATTACAATCACTGAATTCTATTTTAGATCTACTCAAACAAAAGTTCTTAGACTCTAAAGTTCACCTCTATAATTCATGTTTTTTGAACTCTCTCTAGTCTTATTCAGGAAGGATATCCTCTGTGAAAAACACACACCAAGGTACATACTTTTGTTAATGTTCGGTAAGAACATCCATAACTAAAGGAAAAAAGGTATGGGCTTTGAAGCCAGTTCTTGATTTAATCTAATTGAAATATGAATATATTTAATCAATCCTCCTTATTTTTGAACACAACCCCTTGTTTTCGAACGCAACTCTATTATACATATAGTCAATGAATTGCATATAAGCATTACTAACACTTTTCTATTCTAAAACTCTTCAAAGTACTTTTATTGAATTTTATCACATGTTTTTTCTAAATCAATAAAAATCATATGTAGATCCTCCTTACTCTCTATATTTTTGTCCACAAAACCACTCAATAAATATATAAGTCCCATAGTAGACTTGCTCCGACATGAATCCAAATTGATTTCGAGAATTTTTCATTTCACATCATAATATTTGTTGAATTACGCTGCCTATACTTTTAATGCATGACACATTAACTTAGTTCCTCGATAATTTGCACACTATTGTGCATCTCCTTATCTTAAAAATATGAACCAATATACTCTTTTTTTCCCTCATTAAACATCATTTAGTTTTTGAAATAATATTAAAAGTTTAGTTAAGCCAAGAAATTTCCCGATCTCCTAAATATTTTCACCTCAA